AGGATCTCAATAAAAAAAAGTTTGAAAAGTACAAGATCTAAAAGTGAGAAATTTATTTAGTTTTTGGTATTTTGAATTGAAATTGTTAATAAATGCTAATGAAAATACAATCCACTTTAACAAATAATTTCATTTTTTTTTAATTTGGAGATTATTGTTTTTATTTTTTAAGAATAAAAATTTAATAAATTATGAAAAATAAAAAATAAGTTGGAGTTATATCAATTTTTTTAAAAAACATTTAAAGAGGCCACACACACACACACACACACACATATATGATTTTAGTGTGGTTCTTAAATATTTGCATATAGTTTTCTAAATTGACCTATTTTAAGTTTTAGTTAGGTATTACACATTTGAGGACGAAAATATTTTGAGAATCATATTAAGATTAAGAAAATAAACTTGTATAGTTTTTTTAGGTCCTAAAAAATAGGGATTATTCCAAAATATTTTTCTCCTTTTTACTATTTTTTAAATATTTAATGTTTGAAATAAATAAATAAAATTTTGTGATCTCAAAAAAGAACTTAAATTATTTTTAAAAATAGGTTGATTTTTTTATTAGATTATGAGAAAAATTTAGCTCAAAATACTTTAAAAATTTTTTTCAAAAAAGATTTGTTGATCAATAATAATGGTTAAATCAAATGAAGGGAGATTATTTACCCAAAACATGATAATTCAAGGATAAAATTGACCAAATTAACAATACGAGCCTTAATGTTCCATAACCTAAATAATTCAAGAGTAAAAAATACCATTAAACCTGTATTAATTAATTCAATGACATGAGAATATATATATATATATATATATAATCAATTTTCACGTCAATCAAAACTAATTTTATCACAGTCTAAGCTAATGTTGGATCATGCCTAATATATTTGGCTAACTCTAAAGATCAGAATTGAATTCATCAACAACTCATGTTTGGTAATATAAATTTAAAAAAGTCGAGTTTGAACCCAAACTTTGTTAGCAAAAAGTAAAAATACTTTTTTTACCCCTCTACTTACAACCTTCAGTGATTGAGAACTTATATAGCTATTGTGCATGCTATCTTTTGTACATCAACAAGGATGTATAGACAAACCCATGGATTTAAATTGCGGTTTTGAATGTATTCTTGGATACATATAGAATATCGATGTAGCGATCCATTGTAAGTGTCATTTAATGCTTATATCTACGTCTTGTGTAAAAATTTTAAAACTCAATACCTAAAATTTTGTATATAATTAATATACCAAGATTGATGTTTATATAAGTAAATCAATTTAAAGCTATTAATTGTGATTATACAAAATAAATTAAAAATAAATATGATAATAACTTACGTACAAAAACAAAAGAATAAAACTATTAACAATGGATATGTAAAATAAATTAAAGAAAATTGATAATAACTTAGAAAAACAATATAAAAAATATTTTTTAGAAGTACAGTGGCTGCTTCGTCGCCACATGATGGTTATTATGCAGCGCGTGTAAAACAACCTATCACGCTATAAAACTTTGTTTATGTTACGACCAATTTTTAAAACCAAGTAGAAAAGTCGCATTGATTTTTTTTCGTAAATTCAATAATGAAGGTGTCATTTGTTTTGTTTATAAGTCAATCAAAAATAATTTTTTTTATATGATTTAAAAAACGTTTATATCTTCGACATTAACCTGTGCATAAATAAAAATTTAATAAAATTATCGTAAATATTGATCCTAAAGTTTGAATCCAAAATTAAGAAAATCGATTGAATTCTTGGCATGAATTTTATAGTTTCGGTTTCGACCAAGTTGAACCGCTTCTTCTTCTTCTTCTTCTTCTTCTTTTTTTTTTTTTTTTTTTAAAAAAAAAACAGAGATAAAATAGTCAATAATATATAAAAATCTTACTAGTAAATTCTTCTTCTTCTTCTCTTTTTTTTTTTTTTTTTTTGTTTTTGTTTTGAAAAAACAGAGATAGAATAGTTAATAACGTATAAAAATCTTACTAGTAAATTATAAATTAGTCTTCTTCTTCTTTTTTTTTTTTTGAAAAAACAGAGATAGAATAGTCAATAATGTATAAAAATCTTACTAGTAAATTATAAATTAGTCTTTATTGTTTCAAAAAATAAATTAATTAGTCCTTTAAACTTGAAAAACTAATTATTTAATCTTTTTTATCATTTTTAACTACGACTAATTTATTTTTTTAATTTATAAAATATATTTTTTCTCGTTAATCTTTTTATATTTTTATTTATTATTTATTTCTTAAAAAAAATCAAAATAAATTAAAAAATAGCAAAAAGGACTAAATAATTATTTTTTAAAAGTAGAGGGACTAATTAAGTCTTTTCTCAAAGAAAGAGGAACTAATTTATATTTTACTCAAAACCTTACCTGGATATCTTCTCCCTCGAATCATATTAAAAATAAATAAAAACTCGGCCATTGTGCCAAGATAATCAGCTTCCGTGATTCGTACAATAAAAAAATTTGAGAAGGCAATCATATTGGTTTTTTTTCGTCCACACATTATCGTGTGATGGACTTGTAATCTTTAAAAAATCAAAGTCTTAATCAGTGGGGTAAAGCAAAAATCTTGACCAGTACCAATGGAGTCCCCTCTGTTTAATTACATATATAATGAATTATAATAATCAAAAGTTTATTGGCCTGGCCTTTTAGCAGACTATCTGTCAGAAAATTTTGTCTACTTCTGCTTTCCCCACAGTTGATTGCGATTTTTTTCTTATTATTTTCTTTTTCAGTACTGGTATCTTTTCGTTATCTTAATTATCACCTCCTGAAGTAGAGGTCGCACCATGATCATAATTCCAAGCTTCTTAGTCGTCCGACAAATGGTACCTAGCTCCTTGCTTTAATTCCACCTAATATATCCTCAAAAGAAAACAAATTAACTTAAACCTAGATTGTCCCGGCCGGCCCTTGTGCTTTAAACCTTTTCTTGTCTTGACATTATAATAAATAGTGTTATTTGCACATGCAATTGCTTCCTTATGCAGTGCAGCGCAGCGCAGCGCAGCAGTCTCTTCAATTTGAGCAGTATGGGTTAAGTTTAGCAGAAATGATAAGCAAATGTTAAAAGCAATCGGTCACGAGGAAACATCCCTTCATGCTTCATAAGATAATGAACGATTTGGTCATCCCTGGAAAATTCCAGTCGTGACCTAGAATCACTCAACCGGATGCCTTCGTATTATTGTGTGTGTATGTCTATATATATGCCCTATGGAAAAGTGTTTTAAGAAATATGGATGATAATTTAATTCGTCCCGCCGCTCCGCCCCACCTCGCCTCGTTTGAGGTGGGAATAAGGCATGAAATTTTGTTTCAAACGAGACACGAGGTGAAGATGAGTTTTTTTTTTATGGCATCACTATTCTCGCTCCGCCACCACCCCACTCAACCTTTTTGCCTTTTAAAAAATGTAATATGACGGGATCCCGTCTCGTCCCGTTTAGAATGAAGAGCAAAATTTTATCTCGAACGAAATACAAAATAAAAATGAGTTTTTATTTTTATTTTTTATTTTTAGGGATGGGGGCGGAGATGAGGATGTTGATCCCCACCCCCACTCTCACCGCATTGCCATTCCTGCTAAGAAGTCGTATACGTACTCATGCATACAGCTTTTGTAATTCGTCTAAAAACATTGTAGAAAAATGCATGTAATATTGTTGTCCTTTCTTCTGCAACGCACGGAATGGAAAATATTTTTTTAATTTCAAGAGATTGATCTAATATTTTTTAATTTGAAGAGATTGATCTAGTTATTAAAGAGATTCGTTTTTTTTTTTAAATTTTTTTGGTCCAATTTTGGAGAATGTCTGTCAAATTTCTTTGAATACATCGTAGCAATATAAAGAATGTATTTTCAAAATCATCTATTAATATAAAATCAAAAAGACTTAACTGTTTTCTTTAAGTTATTAATAATCTAATACATACACTAGTACCCGTCTGACATCAAATTAATCTTTTTAATAACCAAATTGCAGCCTTAAGCATCATGATACTTCGCACATGCAGAATGAAAACGGTGTTTCAATTTAAATTGACAATCCCCAGCCACTAGATGACAACTTTGCCCCACATATGCGAATGATGAGCTTTATCACAGCCATCGGATCTGTATACCTTTCTACCCCTCAATTCTCCCGTCTCCTTTCACACTTAGATCAATTTCCAAGACAGCAAAAGTAGGTATATTCCCACTATGAAATATAAAATCTTTTTTCTTCGGCAGCTTTTGTGGTATGGCATACGTAACTTGACAAAACTTTACATCAATCATGAAGGCCATGATCGATATCTTGCCGAGTCTACGACAGTACCCTTTTTCTTTATTTATTTAAAAATCAATCACGAACTACGTATCCCTCTCACATGAACAAAATATAAACAGCATAATTGGTAAGACTACCACTGAATTTTAGTAGAAAAAAGATTTTAAATTAAAAAATTCTTAATTGTAACTTTTAAACAATACTTTTTTAATTTAACTCTTTGGTTGGTTTGTTGAGGTTTTGTTGAGAAATTGATGAAAAAACTCTTGAAAATCCTCCAAATTTCAATCATTTTTTCTATCAATTTAGGAAAATATACTTACTAACAGAGAAAAGAGTGGAAAAGTGTGATTTTTGAGAGTTTTTTCATTAAATTTCCAATAAAATCCTACAAAAAGGGACAAGTTAAAAAAATTATATTTTTAAAGGAGCAAAATCATGAATTATTTTAAGTGCGGAGGTATTTTTTTCTCTTTCAAATTCAAGGGGTATTTTACAATTTAGCCATACAAATAAGTGGTAGTTGAGTTCCTTCTCTCCCACTGAGAATGTTAGATTCAAACTGACCAAAACAGCACCATAGAGAAGTAACATCTTCCCTTCTCTCACCTCTGTCTCTCTCTCTCTCTCTCTCACTCTCTCAGAAAAAACACAAGCTAATTAATGGCTGCCGTGAAAAAAGAGTCAGTTAAGCCCATGAACAAGGGAGCATGGACAGCTGAAGAAGATAGGAAATTGGCTGAGGTTATTGCAATTAATGGTGCAAAAAGATGGAAGTCAATTGCAGCCAAAGCGGGTATGTATAACATGTACATATTTTGCTGTTCATTTATAAATTTTTAAGGAAATAAACAATTTTCCTAAGTTGAATTATGTACTCTGTATTTGTGATCTGGTTAAATTAAGCTTGATGTGTCTTTGGATACTTGCAGCTCTCGATAGGTGTGGTAAGAGTTGCAGGCTAAGATGGTTGAATTATTTAAGACCAAACATCAAGAGAGGCAATATATCTGACCAAGAAGAGGACCTCATCCTCAGACTTCATAAACTACTAGGAAACAGGTAATTAATTTATCTAGCATTGAAAAACATAAACTCCTGATATTTACACACTCCCAAATACCAGTTTCTTTAATTACTCTTTGCATAGTAGTGGCGTTTTTTTTTCCTTTTATGAGGACATAGCATTTGATTTTTTTAGTTCAAGAACATATATAGTATTTGATTTTTTTAGTTCAAGAACATATTTTGCTTCTTTGTTAGTTCTAGTTCAAGAATAATATTTGCAAGGCTTTATTTTTTATTTTTTTCTTTCGTTTATTAGGTGGTCACTGATTGCTGGAAGATTACCGGGTCGAACAGATAATGAGATCAAGAACTATTGGAATTCTCATTTGAGCAAGAAAATAAATCATAAAGGAAAACAAAGCGGAGTTTCGACTAAAGAAGGCGATAAAACTGGAAAAAAGAGCATAATGGTCAATTTTGAGTTGAAAGAAGAGAACAAATCAAATAATACATGTGAAGAAGACTCGAATGTAAATTTTAATGTGGATGATTTTTTTGATTTCTCTAACGAAGATCCTTTGAACTTAGAATGGATGAGCCGATTCCTTGAAATGGATAAGGTTTAAATAATAGGTAATGGAATGTAATTGAAACGTGTAAATTTGTTTCCCTCTTGAATTTAGTGCACTAATGTATATAATGGGGTGTGACTGCTACATGATGATTCATGAATTTGTAAGGCTTCATGTTCTGCGTGCGGTTCCTTTGTTTTGGCTTTTTTTGAACTGCTTTTGTCTGTTTTTTTCCCTTCCACAACATTAATCACCAGATGCTAACTTGGCCATAAAGCAAACGGGAAATGGAAATGAAGAATAGCAATTACAAAGTAAAAAGAAGCACACAAAAACACTGCAGTTTTGGCCCCAAGTTCTAGTCAATGTAAAGGCCGATAAATAATTATGATAAAGATGAGAAATGACCTGTCTGCAAGGTTATTATGAATGGGACGGGACATATGCATGATCGCTTGTTGATGCTATATAACGACGAGACAAAAGGCGCATGTGAGTCACAATAATAATCCCTTTTGCTCTAAAGCATACGATCATCTTGCTCTGCAGGATGACTTTGTAAGCTAGCGTTTCTGATAAATATGTATCCAAATTCCAAATTGTTGCCACTTGCCACATATGTATCAGAACGGGTGCACTATCAAACTCAATCTTAGTTTGAATTCGATGAATCCAGCGTATTAACCAGGACCGTGTCAACACTTTTGGTCATGAAGAGGGGTTTGAAATCGGTGAACTAGAGCTTCTGTTGTCGCCTACGTGGTAAGAAAATATATCTGATCCTTGACTCCCAGTGTAGGAATCAGCGGATCCGGGCACTCGTGGAAAACAAAGAACAATTTATTTGTTTTATTAACGCAACATGATTAGACATGCATCATGATGCCTTATTTGTCATCCAGTTCGACCAGTTGCATTCAACTCGAATCCTCCTTCCTAGACTTTTCCAACACAGTATCTTGCTTAATTAATTATAACGCAAACTCGCGTAGGTCCAATTTCAGCTATTTCATTCCTTCTGCGGTTTACTAGAATTATAAGCAAAAATTACAGCCACCTGCTTGATCACGCTTAAATTTCAACTGACCTTAACCATAGCTTAAACTGTACAAAATCTGTTTCCTCTGACCTTAACCATAGCTTAAACTGTAAAAAATCTGTTTCCTCAGTATCTTTCTGTTTTTACAGTGCCAGCTTTGAAGAACATGCAATGCACTGTTCCTTATTCGAGTTTCTGAGGATTCCCTTCTAGTACTTCGCTCGATAAAATTTGTCTCTAAAACCTTTATAGATACTGTCCGAGTGATGGATATCAAAGAAGAACCGGTTCTGACCTCAGGAAGTTAGCTCGTAGACCAGAGCGGTCCTGTCTGACAGATTACAAACAAGAGCTATTTCAGATGTAATTAGGTCCAAGAACCAAATGGCCATAAAGTAGCGCAACTGCTTTCTTGTCAACATCTTCAAATTGATTTTTAAATACCAATTTGTCGAACCTACTACCCCCTTTCCGAGAATAAAAGCTGTAGCAGGTGAAAATATTGTAGCAAGTACAGCAGAAGTACTTGCATCTTCTTTTAATTTGCTCAACAAAACACCCTAAGTAAATCTGAAAATACCATGTGTTGTATGTAGGACGTCATCATGATTAATTATAACAAAGCCAAACGATTTTTTAATGCATTTACCTATAATAAGTTAATTGTACAAGCTTAGATAAATCCATCCTTCTAGTTAGCTACCGTCCATAAGAGTGAGAACAACACTGTAAAAGAACCCAAAAACTCTTGCAATAGTTGATTCACAAAGATTAGAAAGTTGAAATTTGTTGAGGTCACGAATTTCTTTACTATCATGTGAGGATATATAGAATTTCAAATGCATTTTGTAACCATTCTGCATGGTTTCGTCACTTTTACAGATGGGTGCACTTGAGAACAAATTTCTGATGGACATCATTCGTGCTGCAAAGATTCCAAAGGGAATCAACGGTAAAGTGTATGGTACAGTGACACGCCATCATCGCATCAAACTATAGCATCTAAACGTTGCAAAACCAAATGATACAAAACAAATTTCGAGCCTTGACCAGAACCATGTGAAACCAGTGCAAGTCTTGTCTATTCAAATCAGGTTACTGAAACAGGGCACTTGAATGAATTAAAGTGGGACAGGAACAGAAAATAAAATAAGGAAAAGTAAATCTGACAAATGCATATGAATTTTATGCTTGAAATCTCCATCTCTTCAATCACATTCCTCGGTCTATTCACAAATGTACAGCGTGCTTGCTTGCATGAATTCTACAGAACGGAATGGTAGAAATCAGTGGTACGAGCAAAGGATGTTAATTTGCTGAGTTGCTATAATGAATTTCTTTTATTACTCCTTGAATCCAAGAAAACACCGGAAATGTTCGTGATGAATAACAAAAGATCTTACAGAATGATCAGTGTGATTCAGCATGACCATCGCAGAAAGCTAGCCCCACGCCACCGAACAAGCATAGTTGACCAGCAGTTTACCATCAACACCAAAATTCTGAATTGATGAAGTGAAAATATTAGAAGAGGGAGAATGAAGGACAGATGAAGCAACTATGCATCTAACAAAAAAATAACAGACTAGCATATCAAAATTAACCAAGGTTAGGAGCAACTCAATGAGAGGAAACCAGAAAACTCCAAACAAATCTACCAAAACAAACCCATAAAGGAAATAAAGGGATCATAGTATGGTCGTCAGGAGGGAAAAAAAAAACTTAGCAAATTCACGAGAACTTAAAAAAAAAAACCTTTTCTCCTCGATGAGTAAACCATGTTTGTCCATTATCACGTATCAGTTTTGCAACTGAAATAGTTCTTATTTTTTTTCAATGAAATTAGGCAACGATACATAACAAGTCATGTTTATGACAGAAATCATAGAGAGAATCTACATCTAATGTCATTTCCATAGAACATTTGTGCTCAAGTACACAGCTCGGCACATGGGTTGTCGGAAAGAATATTTGGAGAAGTAACAATTCATCTCATGTGAACCATTGCATGTAGCTCATTTGTTTTCTGCCTGAGGGCCATATTAACAATATGCTTCATAGCTAAAGCTGATAGCTTGTGGATAGGCTAATGATTGTTGTTCCAAAGTTAAGCACGATGAACAAACAAGTAACGAAATAGATGAGATGTCTTGGTCAAAATCATCAGTCAACGTATAATTGGGTTGCAATTACCTGGTCTTCATAATTTTGTCACCATATATATATATATATATATACATATATAACCATCAATGCTCTTCTAATGCATTTGGGGTGCATTCATCGAGGACTACATATTAAACTTCAAATTTAACATGAACAGATATGTACTGATAGAAAATGAGGTACAATCAGCAGGTATCTATAACAGACATAAGCAGAGAGAGAATAAATAAATGAAAAAAAAAAAAAAAACTTCTACAAAAAACTTACATTAAACAGATCAATCACCAATTCATCCGGATTTGGTGAGAAAGCACTGTTGATGTATACAAACTAAAGAACAAGGGAGAAACAGAAAACATTACTATTCCAGAAACCCACTTATTAACTATTTTACTAAACTGGACAGAAATCAACATCAAGAGATAACGTACCACAGTCTCCCTATGAAGTTGCCTGCGCAAAAAGTCAATCACCTTAGCAAACTTATCAGTTCCAGGTATCTGTCACATCCAAGTAGTCAATGCATTTAACCACCAACATCACAGCAATAATAATGAGATTGCAAGAAAGCTTTTAGTCCGAAAAAATCAATCTGTGGAAACGTTAAACCACTTGTTGTATGTGAAACCAGAACAGTTCAACTTCCAGTTATTCTGATTTTGAAAAGTATTTCCAATGCAATATAGTGATTTCTGCTGAAGCACCAAAACCATGTCCTATCCATTGTGCTCTTTCTGGGAGTCCTATCCTATAGCAGTCAAATTGTTCTCTAGAAGAGCAATAGGATGCTATTAACCAAGGGTGTGTTTCGACATGCTGTTTGTCAAGCAACTAGCTCCCAAGCTTGAAGTTTGTGGCCCAATGCCAATGGCTATGAGGCACACAAGCAATTTATTTACAAGTGCGAAAAAGACATACGTATGTTCAATTCTATTAAGCGCGAACTCTCCACTAATGTTATGGCTCATCTCGCAAACACAAATCAAGCTCAATAGTGACACACACAAAACTGAAATCATACAGTAAGCATCACACTTGCTTTGCAGATATGTCTCCACATGATCGTATTCACAAAAACTGCCCATGTATAGAACCAAAAAACTACAACTAAAGCAAAGTTTCCCAACAAAAATTCCAAAGTCCTTCTGCACAAAACCATTTTCTTCACCAGAATAGTTTTGCTTCAACTCATAATATCTAAAATTATTTACTGTAAAAACTTTTTTTCAATGAAATTCCAGCTTATGCCAAGATAACAAAGCGGCAAGATCTTTCCTTGATTCCCTCTACGTATATGAGTTTATACTTCCTTATACTAGCCAGCAAATAATGATTTGTTAAGAAAAAAAGATATGTGGGCGTCTATATTTTATCCTTATTTGCCAAACCAACAAACATAGATAGAGAGAAATACAAAACCCACCTCAATCTATCACATAACACATATACATGCATAAATCTTTGTAAATATGAGTGAAAGAAAACTACACCTTGAACTTGTTTTGCTTGAGAATAGGCGCGTCAGCAGTGGCTTTTAATTGAACAATCACTGCATCAAATCAAACACCCAAAGTTTAATTAATTAATCAAAAAAGCATAATTCAAGAGTAATAATTAATGGGTTTATAACTCGATCAAGTTTTGACTCACCTTTTCCAGAAGACCTCGGGGATTCAGTTGCCATTGTTGCTTTCAGCCTAGAATTTGAGAGCCAGAAGAGCCTTGGAAGTTGGGACTTGGGAATCCGAGATTTTGATACGTCCACGAAAGTTTTTGCTGTTTCCACTATTTTTGTTGTAAATATTGGGCCAAATCCAAATTTAAGAATTTGTTTGGGCTCGGCTCTGTTATCAAACACGTTCGTCCATTAAGTAAGATGGGTCAATCTATCTAAATTTAAGGCCCATGTAGTTTACCCAAGAAAATAAAAATCTATGGAGCTTGTAAATGATTTAATGGCAAAAATTGTGTTCGTTCTATTGAAATTTAATAATTTTATATATTTATTATCAATTTACATAATTTACATCTTAAAATATCAATTTTTTTGATAAATCTTATTTAAATCGTATATTTTTTTATTATTTGAAATGATCAACTCAATTGATTGTTAATTTTTTTTTATTATTAATTTTTTTTTTGCTATTAAGTTTTTTTTTAAATGTTAAAAATAATTTTAATTCATTTTCAAGATATTAATATGAAAAATGAAATGGATTAATATGTGAAAATTTTAAATAGAAAGAATCTTTCTTAAAAAATTGAAGAAAAATAATTTTAATGTTTTTTAAAAAATTTATAGCGAAAAAAATTAACAGTAAAAAAAAATTAATGATCAACTGGGCTGATCATTATAAATAATGAAGAAAATATAATTTGGATAAGATTTTGAGATTTAAATTATGTAAATTGATAATAAAGATTTGAAATTGACAAATTATAATAGAAGGGGCAATTTTTGCCATCAAATCATTTGTAAATCTACATGTGACTAGAAATATAACGTGATTTTTTAAAAAATTTTAAACTGATTTTTTTTTTTTCAATTATGAAACCTTTGGTGTGCTCGTATATATAATTCGATAAACATAGAATAATAAGAAAAATATTTACTTTTTTTTTTGGTTCAAAATAATTGTCCTATATGTCTGATGGTTATATTTTAAGTATCTACTTGAAAAATAAAATAATTCAATTTTTCTACTAATGAAATTTATGAATAGAATAATAATTAAGAAGATATGTCTCTATTCAGAAAGTTACACTGGATTCTCATCTTTAGAAAATTAAAATTCTTCTTCTAATATAAATATGATTGGAGTAAATGTGAAATTAATAACAACCTGAAGACGAACAAAATTAATATACTCATCTCAATATTAATTACCAGAACTTTTTCCGGCGTGGTATATTGTAACATTTTACAAATTTTTATTTACTAAATCTTAATTAAATAAGGGTCCAGGAATCATTAATTGTATTGATCCAATCAATCATACTTGTGTATGTGTTCTTCCTGTGATCATAGGAGAATATATATTTATATATATCGAGAGAGAGAGAGAGAGAGAGAGTTTGCTTTATTGTGCTCCTTGTTGTTTTGCAGGAAGCAATAAATATTTATAGAATCTACAACAAAACTGAGGCTAAGCCAAGTAGGTGAAATTAATTTTGCACATTATGATATGTACGTGTCATTTTTACGCGATCATTGGATTTTTGTCATGATCAGGTGCCAATTAGCTAGCCACTAGAGACTTTGCCTGTATATAATATCATTCTGGAAAATAAATAAGTTAATAAATAAAGGAATTAGGGTATATAATTATTTTTAATTTTAAAAGGGATATCAAGAAACTTATATGATACGAATTTTCAGTTGCTGGATATTGTTTCATGGTGAATTTATGGAGATGACGAACAAAATGCAACACTTGCCCGAACAAATCAAGAAACTTTGGAACAAATGGGAGATTGTGGGGATGGTTTTACGTAGTCTTTTGCTGCAAATCCTTCTCATCATGTTTGGTTCTCGGCAGAAGCACATTACAACAATCTGGATCGGGATTCTTGTTTGATCATCCTACTTATTGGTAGACGTGGTAGCCATTGTTGCTTTAGGTATTCCTTTCAGGACTCAGCTTGGAGAACTGGGAGACTTCAAATTTGCAAATTAAAGAAAACAGTACACTTCGTGCATTTTGGCTACCTTTCCTCCTCTTGCAGTACCCTGGTAGCCCAGACACAATTACAGCTTTCTCCATCGAAGACAACGAGCTGTGGTTGAGGCATTTGCTTACCCTTCTGGTCCAAGGTTCTGTGGCTTTTTATGTTGTCCTAAAGTCTTGGGATATCAGTGTCCTCACATTTATAGCAATTTTATTGTTCTTTGCCAGCATTACCAAGTTTGGGAAGCGGACTTGGCGCTCAGATCTTCAAACGCCGTGCACATTAGAAACTCTCTGATTTCAAAACCGTCTCGCGTGCGATTAGATACAAAGAATATAATGGTTGTTCCGCGAGGACACTTTATTCCTCAGACCAACTTTCTTCATCAATCTTATTATATCTCTTTGAAAATCTTATCCTCAGCTTTACTGAACTAAAGGACAGCCACTCCATCATGTCTTGCCAATCATCAAAGGATGCTTTCAAGTTGATAGCTCGGATTCATCTTTGATACACTTCATACTAGGGCTCCCATAATTTATACCCAGATAGGAATTTTTCTCCGCTCCATTACCTTCTTCTTCTCTGTCACTGCGTTAGTTTCCTTCTCAATATTCTTCGTTGACAAGCATTGCTATTTATGCCATTTTTACTCCCTTAATGCACATTACACCAGTGAAAAGAGGTGGTTAGGGTCCATGGCGCAGTACAACCTGGTAAGTTGTTGCCTTGAAATCAAAACAATCACAGAGGTTGATCAAGTTGTTCAGAATCCATCACGAAACAATGAAGCAGTACTTGTATGTACGTCAGGGGAATATAAATGACAATTTGAAAGATTTGATCTTCGAAAATCTTCTTGAGAAGGGGAATGAGATTATAGAGCATCTCCAAGATAAGAACGTACGGGCTAAACTATAGGATTGAGAAGATGAAAAGGCTAGAAGAATTTCGTTGGCGCACAACGTCGGTGGAATTTAACCATAGACACCTTATCTGGCACGTTGCTACTGATCTTTTCTTTCTATGCTGATCGGAAGTTACATTCCAAACAAAGGATGCCTAAATTCTTATCTGATTACATGTTTTATCTTCTGTTCGTGAAAACCAAATATGCTTCCCAAGGGAATTAATGGTTCAGGATCTAGAAGTCGAGACGCGAGTGAAGAGGTCAACAGATTTTTTCAAAAAACAAAACAAAAACATGTTTATGGTATTGAAAGGGAAAATCGAATGAAATTGCTCGAAATGAAGCAGGCGGAGTTGGACGATGCCATAGCAATCCCTATTGGTACTAGGCCAACAATTCCTGGAGCATATGGAAGTAGCAAGTACTTGCTGAGTTGCTGGTCCATGGATGTATGCTAGCTCAACAACTGCCGGAGTAGGAAACAGAGGAGAAGTGGAAGATGATAAGTGAGGTTTGGACTGAAATTCTCACTTATGCCGCGAAGTCATTGCGAATGGAGAGACCATGCTCAGCCACTTAAAAGTGGTGGAGAGCTACTCACTTTTGTCCGCTTTCTTATGGTTGTGGCACATCTAGGTTTAAACCAACACATCAGGAAATTCTTGTTAATTGACTACTATTTAACACTGTATGAACGAATCAGTCCAGTAATTAACAAGTTGAGATGTTGGGATGATTTGTTTGAAAGAGATTGGATGGGATGATACTTTTGAATTCATTTGCAACTGAAACATCCTGTATTAGTATATAATTTGCTGATTATAAATTATACAGCCAAGACTATGCATGTATGTGCTAATTCTACCTGCAATGGGCTCCTAGTTCATTGGTACTCTTTGCCAAAGTAAAAGGAGAGAACTGATGTTGGAGAATGGAGAACCACCCTCCACGTTGTATTTTCCTCGAACCGCTGCTCCTCTTCTCCTTGTACATAATTCGAATATTGTCATAAGATTGTTAGTTTATTTCACATTGATTTTAGAAGGAACCGGAGAGAGAAAAAAAGTCTCTCTTTGACCTAGCTTAGCACCCAACAATTTATAATGAGCACATATATTCTCTTGATTCCACTACAGTATAGGGATAACGTTGAAATTTTATAATACTCGAAGTAACGATAAATTTTATAATACTCAGAAGTAACTAATAAGCATATACAATAGCTTACTTTATGAACTCAGTTAGAGGAAGGAGATGGGGGAAAAAAAAAGTTGAGTGATATTGAAAACTTGTCGTTTTTTATGGTTTCAAATATAATTTTCTGTGTGTTTCTCTCTCCTCCAAGTAAATTCATGAAATAATTATTACACATACCACAAGTTACTTGTTACTCTTTGAGTATTATAAAATTTCTCTCACAAGACATCATCTAAGCTGCAATAAACCTACAATTAAATGATGATTAATAAAAAAGTTAGGAAGAAAAAAGAAACAAGAATCAGCACCTTCATACTGCTTCCAATTTTGGGTTATTTTACATATTTAAAATTTAATAAAATTAAATGTAGAAACTCTAAAATGAAAGACAAAAGAATATACATCTTACTCGGAGAATGAATATAACTTTATTTTCAAGAAAATGATTTTCAGGGCATTATATCTATGGCTTCAGAAAAGCTTCACGCTTGGGAGCAGTCGTTCAATGTTCTCTCAAGTCTCAGGTAAAACAGAATCATCACTGATTAATTGTCTGCTTGGAGTTGGAGCAGATCCACGCAAGACTAATTCCCCTTCATACATGGCACATGCATGCAAACAAGATTGAATCCAATAAAATTTAGTAGTTTAAAGTCATCCACGAGCAAGCATTAATCTAACAATCTGTTGAGATAGAGGATCACCAAATCCGGAATGTAAGAAAATGCCTTCATAATAAATATTTCGAGTCCTTTTGCATGAAAGCAGGAAGAGGAACGAATTTCACAAAAATCCTACACCTTTTTCAATGAAATCCATTCTTGTACTCGCTTTCATGTCAAATTACATTATTGAATAAGCAAAATAAATACATGACAGGCAACTGGAACCTCCATTTCCATTCTCTAAGCTAGATGAGCTTGAACTATGGCGAGCTATTATCATGAGGGGTGCTATTCACCAAATCAAATGATCATACACTAACAATAACTATAACAAATTAGAAAGTCCATTCCACAGCCATTTAGGGACCTACCCCTCCAAATAATTACAGATTTGCTTACTGATGAAAATAGGCATAACCTTCCATGCATTATATGACCACTGCCATGATGAATGCATGCACTAATTCTCTCTCTGGACCGGTGTTAGGTGCTTGTCATCACAACAATGTGAAGAGACCAGAAAACTCTTGCCTACATTCTTACACCGGCATTGAAAGGCATCATAGAACACCCACCGTAGTGACCTCTTCAGACTACAGAGCAATCCCCAATTTGCCTATACTGTAAATCTCATACTCTAAAATTGACTTTAATTCTTTTATTTCAGCGCATCTAGTCCATCCAAATTATATATGTATCTATGCATGGCCGCTAGGCACACCCCAAAGATTAAATTCTCACCAGCATAGCCCAACCAGTTAAATCCAACCACACGTAGTCCATATCAGAAACCAAAACCTATATCAATTAAAACCGTGTAATCTGCTGCACCATTGGAGAACCAGTTGATTGTGAAACCAACTGCTCTGAACTTGGTGAAGATCTTATCAAATGATTAGTAACAACTGGATTGCCAAGGCCTTGTCTTATCATCTCTTTAGGATTGATATTATTTTCTACAGACTGAGAGGACTCCATCAATGCATGAATCTGACCACACGTTAAGAATGAAAGAAAAAGCTTTAGAACCTTGCAAGAGGGGAGGAATATAATGAAGGAAAAAAAAAAACATATCTGAAGATAGTGGTTACCATATCAAGACGCTTCTTGTGAAGATCACTGGGCAACTGCATATTTTAAACCCAAAGTCAAAATGGATCTCTTAAACTGTATTTTGAATGAAATATTAATGAATTTTTGCATAGTGGTACAAGAATGATCAACATCATCACCTGTAGATGTGTGTGTGAGTGAGTTTTCATGGGGGAAGACATGACTGGCTACAGGATTATATAGGTTTATGATCAGATCAAATGAAGTTCTAAAATAAAAAATTGATGAGCTTCATAATTTGTATGATATTTCACATTACTAAATTTCAAAATTCATAAAAAGAACAGTAGATAAAAAATTTTGGACTTCCATCAGATTCACCGAGCTTATAGATAGTACTTCATCTTAATAAAGTTGTTTGACATTGATAAGGAAATACATGCGCACACACACATATATCATAATTAACAGATATCCCAAATTCTTACAGGATTTTTTTGGTGCTTCCGCTCTTCTGTTGAAAATCCAGGAATTGTCAAATGCCAATTTTTCTCTGCACAGTTTTCAAGCATCACACTCATCAAAAACTCGTTTTTCTTCACTCCAAAATAAGACAGAAAAAACAAATTATCGTAGTTATATAGATGAATCAACTATAATGCATTATGTGCTACGTTTATTTATTTATTTATTATTATTATTATAAGACCCTGCAGTCCACAATCAGGGTTAAGCAGTCAAGGGGTAGCATTAGAAGTTAGTAGTTAACCAGGCAGGTGGTTCATATAACCACGACAGGTACTGAGTTGACAATAAGCATTTTGGGGCCCTCCCATAAGCCTCATTCAAACCATGCAGTGAAAAAGGAAATATGAAGTCAAATTCCTACTTGTATGATCAATCAAAAGATCATAACTGTATCCAAGGGGCCCCAGTAATTTCGACTATTTACCGGTTTGAGAAAATATGTAAATGTTCTCATGACCCTATATATATATATGATGCATACAGGATAACAAACCCAAATTAATCAGATTTTTTCACAAGAAATAAACTTTTAAAAGACAGTTTTAACCATAACATCCTTGGGAGAAGCCTAAAGTTCAGACAACTGAACTAAAGTATTTTGCTACACATCTAGGCAAAGATTATTCCTTTCTCCATTTTCACACTAAAGCATTGTGACATCATGAATATAGGTAAGAAACACAAAAAAAGTTTTCAACAACAAAAGCATATTAGATAAGGATGATGTCAGACGGATTAAATGAAACCATTGCTGAGCCTGACAGCGACTGGAGTTCACTCATTGCTCACCATGCATATTCCACAACCAATTGTACTGTTCCTATTTTATTAATCAGACAGTCTACTATCATTCTTGCTCTAATCCATAAGAGAATTCTAAATAATAAATGACTAAATCTGTGGACCAAATATTAATGTTCCCAAACATGACATAAAACTTGCTGATGCAAATACTATATTTTGAAGCACGAACCTAAGTGAAGCAATATATCCTTGGACTCTAAAGTTGAAGATTTCCGATGCTTAGCCAAACTGCAAGCAAATGTGGTCACCTGCATTTTGATAACACAAATAAGTTTCTCTATGAAAGATTTGAAAGAAAAGGATTTAATTCATCCTCCACGAATATTATTACAGAATATTTGGTACACAAACTAGACAGTGTTAATATGATCAAGTATGCAATTTCTACTGATAAAAATACCATGATTTATAGGTTAAAATTTCTCGGGATGGAACAGATCCAACAGAAATGGTGATTTATAATTTATCCATGTTTAATATTTTCCCTGAATGAACCAGATCTATCACTAATCCAAGAATTTCACTAATTTAGGGAGTGTGCAGGACCATTAGTACCAAAAGAATAAAAATAATCCAGCATGATGGCATTTCAGAAAACTATAGTCTACATATCAAAATGAATAGTCTTCAACAGTCTATAACAGTAAAATATTCCTAAGTACATCTACAACCACACAATTGCAACAATTAAAAATCTGGTGGAAAACTTCCTATTCTTTACTCACATAATGCTATGATTACCACTTGCATGGAAGCCTTGATTAACAGTAAAAACCTCACACTCAATCATGAACTCAACAGTAATATTCCTATAAATGCAGAATAAAAAAATTTTGCAAGTATATAAGCTTAAAATCTTATTGCAGTAGAACTTTGGAAAAATAGGAGCACAAAAAGCCATGTGTCTGCATTCGCATGCATGCACGTGTGTTAGTGTGAATGAATGCATGCACGCACACGTGGGTGTGTGAGAGAGAGTGAGAGAGACTGCATATTTATATCTGAAGGAATTCACGTACAGACATACACACATTCTTATGGAGAAAAAGTTGAAAATGTTAGCAAGCCTCACAGAATCAATAAAGTCATCAGCAATTTCCAGAAAAAGCTCTTCAACTTCAGGATCTAGCTTTCCATGTGAATCCACCTAAGTACCCAAAAGATGAACAAGATGACACATTTATCATGAAGAATTGGAAGGCAAGAAAGAACAAGGCATAAAGCTAAAAGAAAAGGGATGGAGAGGACAAAGTAAAATGCTGGAAAGACCTGTGAAACCAAGTCCTGTATCTTTCTCTTCCCAAGAAGTTGATTGGTTGCTTCTGTTCCTTGGCTTGAACTTCCCCCAGGTGTAGTTGTACCAGATGCAGTTGCATCTGGCTGTGATCCTGTCAAACTAAGAGATTTCTGGCCTGTAGGTCCTGGCATCCTCGGAGATTGCTGTTGTTGTTGCTGCTGTTGCTGTAGTAGTTGCTGTTGCTGCTGCTGCTGCTGCTGCTGATGTAGTTGTTGGTGTCCCATTTGGGGCTGCTGCTGTACCAGCTGGGATAACTGTTGTGAGTTCAGTGCCATCGAATTCTGGTGCAGTTGACCAGATGAAGCCAATTGCTGCTGCATGAGAACCTGTGACTGCCGATGTTGAATACGGAACGAAGGCGAGGCAGGACCAGACATTGTTGGCATTTGCTTCAACCACTGTTGCTGTGACAGAGAGCTCTGCATCATATTTGGCTGTGGACTCTGAGCCAGCCCTGACATCTGAGGGTTCATATATGCCAGTGATGGTGTCCTTTGTATGCTTTGAACCTGCAGTTTCAGAGAGATGATCATGCACACAAATCAATGTAAAGCGCACAATTGCAAAAGTTTCGCTTACAACAACAAAACTAAAAGCGGAATGATCAGTTAACACTTTTCTGTGCTTGCTGAAAGAAGGGAAGGATGGAATACTTGACCATAGAAAAGAGGATTGCTTGGTTCTAGGAAAGCCCAATAGCTATAATAAGTAGTAATATGCTGTTGTACTCACTCAGCACTCAAATGAAAAAAAAAAAAAAAAAAATTAACCAATTCACCGAAAGAAGTATGTGTGTATCCCATTCAGGATGTAAATGCAAGAACCAAATAACATGAGAATCCACATTACTTCTCACAATCACTCCATTCATGCTTATCAAATATAATTACAGAACCAAACACCATGACAAACACTAAAACAAAATTGCAGAAGCATCGGAGAGCTAAATTTGTAAAACCACCCCATATAAAAAAACACCACCTATACAATATGGTTCTTCAGAGAAATGGGACTTGCTAGAAAAAATCATAAAATTAAATTGAGTAATAACATCATTTTGAAATTACAAAAATCAGAGCCCAAGCTTTGCAGAAATTAGAGTCACCAAATCCAGTTCCCAGAAGGAGAAGAAGGTGACATGATCGGAGAAAACTCAAACCTGAGAGGTGAGCGGATTTTGTTGCACCAGTTGCTGCCTCATTGACCCTGCATTTATTCGCTGTTGAGCATATGTGAGTGCTCCATTAGGTCTTAGTTGTGAACCCATATTTAGTGATGGGATCACTCCCATTGCTTGTATCCCCTGCAAAGACTGCCCTGGAGAATTACCAGGATGGAATTGGGACCCTTGAACTAACCCAGCTTTCTGCCTCGGCTACATCCAAAAGTGCACTTATTTTAGAAAAAATCATTATTCTGATCATTAAGATTATTTTGCTATCTCAATCACAAATGTATTACATAATGAGCATGAGACTGAACCAACATATTCTATTGATCCAACAACTATTCGATCATACAATGATCAAGCGATTTTGAAATTATCATCTGCTGAATTCAATTCTTCAGCTCAGAAATCCTATATAATTAGACACCCTTTTAAAATCGAAGTACTCAAACTGTAATATACTATCAATTGATTATAACATAGAAATGATTTTTCATATACCTTTGATTATAAGTAATTTATCACTCGTACGTAGTGCAATAAGTAGATTTCATACCCCGAATGGCAATAAACAATAAATTGATGGATACTAATATCATTTATCAACTTGGAAAAAAAAAAAAAAAGGTCTTTACCTAGCCAAACAACTGCACTGAAAATCCAATGAACAAATCACTATTATTATGACATTTAACTACCCTATAATTAGTAACTCTTGAAACACTCTCATCAAAACTAAGTTGATTCATGAAAACCTCAAAGACTTCCTTTAAAAACCAAAACAAATCACTAACATAAAAGCACATAAGCATTGCCATTGAAATTTTCTCACAAACTAACACCAATACATAGAACAACTACAACAACAACAATCCAGAATTCTTACTAAAACTAATAATTATATCTAAAGCACAAATTACACTAACACTTACGTTCAACAAACCCATTAACCAAAAACAGCAACTTCGTAAGCAAAACACTACAAATGTGATAACTTTAAAGCAATCAAAAACATACTGAAGCCAACAATTGCGAGGGCAAGTTCAACTGAGCGGCGGAAGCTGCCCCGGTGAGCATAGGGAGGTGTCCAGTTGGGCCGAGAAGCGCCGAGCGAGGCAAATTGGCCCCACCCAATTGTTGATTCTGCTGCGAATTCTGTTGAATTGAAGCAGACCCACCAAAATTCATTTGCCCATATAAGCCCTGTTGTTGTTGAAGCTGTTGCTGCTGCTGCCTCAAAACGCTACCGTATTGGTTCTGTTGTTGTTGGTTAATTTGGCTCAAGCGTGACATAGAAGGAGATCTTTGAAGGGTTTGTTGGATTTGATAGCCTGACATTGCTGTGACATTCTGCTGCTGCTGTTGTTGTTGCAGAATTGGTTGTTGTTGTTGAGAAGGGAGGGAAGGTGAAGCAGAGATTTGGGAGTGGTCAAGTGAAGAAGAGGAAGAGATTTGTGAATTTTGAGGTAAATTGGATAGGTTAAGTGTCTGTGTCTGTGATTGTGTTAAAGTTGTCGTGTTAGTGTTCGTTAAGGTTGCTGCTTGTTGTGATTGTGGCTGTGACGACGGGTTTATAATTGAATTTGGAGAAGGCAGAGGTTTAGGGGAAGATGCTGCTGCTGCATTCTCAGCCATGGATTGGATTGGACTGGACTGGAATAAAAATTATGGGTCTTTAAAATCTTACTTAAAATCTCATTCTTTTCGATGAATTGAGTGACTGTAGCCTGGGTTTCTTTCTTTTGCAGAGCTTGCAAAGTTAAGAGGAAGGGAGAGAGGAAAGAGGAGAAGAGGATTACTCAAGTGTACCCTGATAAGCAGAGGGAATGATGCATATGAGGGATCTCGGCCATACACGTAATAGTAGCGACCGGGTCTGGAGGATATATATGGCTGTAGACCGTACACGTGTGGAGATAGGAGCTGGGGGGTCAAAAGACTTTGGTAGTCAAAACATGTGGCTTGATTAGATTGAAGAGTGACTTAATTAATGAAAGTCAATGACAAAAAGCAGCAATAAGTCAAGTTCTATTACACTATAACACAGTACATACACTCCTCCGTATTCCCACCACGCACCTGACGAAAGAAGAGCGAGTGCTCACTTCTAATAAGTTATCTCTAATAATGGAATACTTCACATTTAACAAAAGTAAACTAAGGGTTGGAATTCTTTGTTTTTGGGTCATTGGAGTTTTGTACAATACCATTCCAAAATCTTCTCCCATGTTTTTTTTTTTGAATATTTCATCTTATTTAAATATTATTATGGATTTTTATATATAGTTTCTAAAAAAAACTAGAAGAATTATGTCGTGTGAAATTATGTCTAATAGTCAAGAGTTGCAATGTAACTATAATTCTAAAGCGGATAGATGATGAGCATACGCTTTCATTAAAAAATGGTATATGTTGTTTATATAAGTAAATCTCTAGTTAATGAAAAATAATTTAATAAAAAAAATTAGTAAATATAAATATAAAAATTCTTGTTCTATTATTAAAAGTCCTATGTGATTCGAAAACAGATCCATCATTGGTATTAGAGCTTTCGCATTTTCATCTTCAAGATTGTTATTATTAGTCCTATGTGATTCTCAGCCTTATGACATGTAGAAAATTTATTAAAGATTCACTAGGTCCATCGATGGTATTGGAGCCTTTAAGTTTTTATCTTTAAGGTTAATGCGTTCTTCAAAATATTAGCACCGATCTAATTCTCCGATAAAAAATCCGGATAACACCGACATGACAAGTGACGAAGCGTGACAACTAGACTTAATGCGCCATGCGAGATTCCACGTGAGTGCCGATATGTAAAATCGGTTATAAGACTTAAAAGACATGTCATTTCATATATCTTAATTACAATGAAATCTCTAATTCAAATTAACCCCAACCCTTTCAAATTCATTTTAATTATCTATAGTACCTTGTTCTTTCAAATTCACCCCGTTAATCGAATCGTAACATATTCATTTTAGACTTTCTACAGTACCTCGTTCTTTCAAATTATCTAATCCTTCATCTCGCCTTCATTTCTATAGATCATCTATTCTTCCATTTTCCTTCTTTCCATAATCAAAACGATATATCCTCTCTTCTTTCTCCTTTGTCTTCTCCTTTTTCTTTCTAGAATCAAAATGATAGATCCTCTCATCTTCTTTCTTCGTCTTCTTCTCCCTTCTTTCTCTTTCGTTTTCTCCTTATTTCTTCCTAAAATCGAACCCACATATCCTCCCTTCTTCTTTCTTTATCTACTCTTTCCTTCTCATCCCCCAAACCCACGGACCTTTCAACCTAATTCTCTCATTCTTTCGTGAAGCAATTGCTATAGCTTTGTAAGTAAAAACCCAAACCCCTATTTGTCCCTAATACCTAAAATTCAAAATCCTAAACCTCTCGAGATGAACGATCAAGAAAATACCTCGAAAACCCTTACTCTCACACCTTTAACCATTTGAATTACATAACCCAAATTTGCTTGTCTTTTGGTTGGTGTTTCTATCCATAGGGTAAATTGTTTCAAGATTAAATTTCATATTGGTGGGGTTTTTATTAACATGATTTCCATTTCTTATGTTGGGGAGGTAAGGATTGTATTAATCGAGTGGTTAGAAGACTCTAATTTTATGAATTTAAAAGATCTATATGATGTTGTTTTTGAAATTGGATATAAGACACATAGGGTTATGGTGTTTAAACAACCGGGTTTAAATTTAAGTAAGGAAGGTTTAATTATAAACGAGGGTGTGATGTTTAGGCATATATTAGGTATTGCATGTCAAAAAGTGGTCTATTAATGTTTTTATGGAGGCATGAGGATGTTGAAGGAAATAAAGTCTTAACCCAAGAAAAAAATGGTAGTGATGCTTTGGGTGATAATGTAGGTGATGATGCTTTGGGTGGTGGTGGTGATGGTTTGGGTGATAATACAAATGGGAATGGTTTAGGTGTTAGAGCTTTGGGTGATAATGTAAGTGGTGATGCTTTAGGTGATGTTGGTTGGGTGATAATACGAGTAGGGATGCTTTAAGTGTTAGAGTTTTGAGTGATAATGTAGGTGGTGATGATGAAGACTATATACCAATTGAGGAATCATAGTAGTTTAAGTGATGCCGATTCCGAAAGTTCTATTGATGAAGAACTAATTGAGGTTAGAAAGCAAAGGAGGAGTATGAGAATAAAGTGTGGTCGTGGACTTCAGCTCAATGATGAATTGGCGTATCAACCCCATCGGTTAGGAGAAATTCTAATTAATACAAATGCAATATACTTCAACCTAATAAAGGAGGATATGTCAAGTACATATGATAAGTAGTAGTAGGGATGAGCAAATAACCCCTCATAGAAGCAATGAAGATGATATATTTACTTATAAGAGAAAGAAAAATGAGGAAAGAGTTAGTGTATATGATTCGACATGTAACCATAAAGAGCTTATTTTCAAAGCTGGAATGAAATTCACTAATGCTAACCAATTTAGAAGAGCTATGAAATTATATGGTATTGAAAATAAAAGAGATATCGGTTAGGTTAGGAGTACAAAAATGTTATGGATGCTAGATATGTTAGAGGTTATAAATGGAGAGTGTATCTAAGTAAGAAGCAGTTGGAGTATACATTTAAAGTGAAGGTTATGTATCCCGAGCATAAATGTAAAAGATCATTGATAAATAAGCAAGCTACTCAAAAATGGCTAGCCAAAACCTATCTTCACAAGTTTCGTAATAATCCTAATCGGCCTATAAAGGAAGTACAAGATGCTATCAATGAGAGCTATGGATTGAAAGTAAACATTCGGATGTGTTACAAGGCTAGAAATGTGGCTCTAGACATGTTGAGAGGTTATTTGATCAAACATTATACAAAATTAAGATCTTATATGCTTGAGTTCAAAAGGGTAAACATGTAAGGAACTTTCTATTTTGAAACCATGGAGGGTGGGAATTTTGAATTTAGAAGACTTCATGTTGGCCTTTTAGTATTAAGAAAAAGGTTTCTAGGTAACTGTAGGAGAGTGTTTGGTCTTGATGTTGGTTTCTTAAAAATATGTTTGGGAGGATGTTTATAATCGTAGCGAGGAAGGGATGCTAATGATCATATCTTTTCATCCCGTGGGCTATTTTTGATAATGAGAATGGAGAAAATTAGAGATGATTTATAGATTTGCTTACAAGGGATCTTGGCATCATTGATAGAAATTCTTAGGTAGTTATCAATGACCAACAAAAAAAGTTTTAAATTTTATTTGTTTGACATTTGTTACTTTTTTATTTATCTAAGTTATCATCACAGGTATGTTTTCGTGGCCTAGAGAATATTGTATCCGACTTGATGCTAAATTATGAACATAGAAACTGTTCAAGACACATTTATGCAAATTAGAAAAAAAAGTATGATGGTGAGTTGTATAAAAAATTATTCTGAAGGTCGTTAATGCTATAAATTTAGTATATCGAATCTCATATTGGACAAGCTAAAAGGTGTGGATGAGGTAGCATTTAATGACTTTATTAAACTTAGGCCTCCAAAGTTTTGCAATGCATTCTTCAGGATCAATCGAAGTGTGATGTATCCACAAACAACATGTCTAAAGCATTTAATGAGACTATATGCAAGGCTAGAGCAAAGCCATTGATAGATATGCTAGAAGATATTATAACCTATTTGATGGAGAGGATATATATAAAAAGTTAGTTGATGAAGTCTCTCGGTGATGAAATCTACCATAACATAAGAAGAAAGCTGGAAAAAATTAAACTTGAATCATGTACATCTAGGATAGTACCAATTGTTGGAGATAGATTTCAAGCTAGATTTGATGAGGACATATATGTTATTATTTAAAAAGGAATTCATGCAACTCGTAGGGCATGGGATGTCACCGGCATTCCTTGCAAGCATGTTGTATTATGCATAACATTCATGAGGGTTGAGCCTACAGATTATGTTGCTGATTATTTTAAGATAGAATCAAAAGTTAGAATATATTCGAATGATCTTGAACCTTTGAATGGGTTTAAAATATGGCTTGTTAGTGAAGGTCATGATATGTTGCCCTCTTCTTACAAGAAAATACCGTAAAGGTTGAAGCAAAAAAAAAAAAAAAGGATAGAATGAAGAAATAAAGAATATAAATAAAACATCTAAGGTTATGTTCCAAATCCATTGTCAAAAATGTTATGCTTATGATCATAACAAGAGAACATGCAATAATAAAGGGCAAGGAGACTCAAACCCCACTCCCGTAAGTCCATGTTTAATTATTTTTTCCTTATGCTCCGAGTTTGATTGAGTTGGTTTTAATTAATGACAATTTAAATTTGTTTTATGTTACCTTTAATTGTAGGCTAAAAGAGGAAGAGGAAGACCTCCAAAGCAATTTGCTATAATCCCTACATCTACCTCTATAGATGTATTAACTTTCATAAAATAACCTATATCTACCTCTATGGGTGCATTAACTTTAAGAACACAACCTACATCGACCTCTAGAACCCCCTCCACATCCAGATTTATCTCAACCTCTTTAAGATATGACCCAATTGTAAAAGTCAATGAAAATAGAGAGGAAAGAACGAGTTAAAAGTTTTAAAGTGTACATAAGTGCAAAAACTAGTAACATGTACTTAAATGCAAGTTCAATGTGTTTTACCTAATCTTAATCTTTAATTTTTAATAGATTTGTTGATTAAATTGTATAGTATAAATTTACCTAATCTTAATGTTGATGTTACATATGATTGTTAGAGGCAAAGTTGATACTATTATAAGATGGCAATTCGATGGCATCAAATACTAGATCAAATACAAGGCAAAGTGTTCAA